CAAACACAGACTACATGGCGAACATTGGCTAAATAATTGACTATATAGCTGACTCTGGTTACCCCGCTGCCTTTCACCGGCTAGAATGACAGCTGGTTTAATGTCACAAGTCCAGACGATGTGAGGAACTGCTTATGGTCCCGCGTCTGCTCCTTAAACGGTGACTTCAATCGATCAATTTCAGCGCCACATTGTTGAGAAGCAATCGGGAATTTGGTATTAAAATTCGTTTTGAGATGTTTCAAAATGTTTCTGTACACTACATTCTCTTCTCTGGAATATTTTTGGCAAATGGGCATTTTTTTTTAAATTCCCTCTCAAAGGTTAATTGAAAATTGCACGCTATAGATTTTAAGATAATTTTTTTGTTTGCTTTTGCGGCAGTATTCATTTATTTATTTATATATATACAAGAAGGTACATTAGGTTTGTGAGAATACATTGAATAGTACAGTATTTACAATCTTGTAAAGCCACTAGTACGCGCAGCGTTTCGGGCAGGTATTCATTCAAAATCCCTTCCCCCCCCCCCCCGCCTCCTTTACTTTCAATGGCTTCTTTAATACACTGTGATGGCTATGTGAGCCTGCAGGATGCTAGCACAAACAGCCTCACACATGCAAGACAATCACCAGGAACCAGATTCACGAAAGCACTTACGCAAACACTTACGAACGTGTACACCTTTCCTCAATCTTTGACGGTTTTGGTTACATTTATTAAACAGTTTACAAGCATGAAAACTTGCCAATCAACTGTTGTTATTGTTATAAACAGCCTCCTGGTGCTTCGGAGCTCATTAACTGTTTAATAATTGTAAACAAAGCCGCCAAAGATTGAGAAAAGATGTACAGGTTCGTAAGTGCTTGCGTAACTGCTTCGTGAATCTGGCCCCCTGGAAGGCTGGCTACATGTTAGGCTGCGGGGAAGGGAACTATCAGGGGGGGAAAGCGCCAAGGCATTACGACTATATAGTTGCTATATAACCCTTGGAAGGGGTCGGACTAGGCTGTGGGAGTAGACCAAATCATCAACACGCTTCCCTCTCGAATCGTAATCGGAGATCCCGGGTTCGATTTCCGAGCTGGGACCGTCCCAGAAGTGGTTGGGCATCATTCCTTTCCCCCGCCGTCCCATCGCCAAATCCTTATCCTGACCCCGTTCCAAGTGCTATATAGTCGTAATGGCTTGGCACTTTCCCCCTGACAGTTCCCTTCCCTTCTGGGAGTTACAGACAACTTTTGTGATGTTGAATCATGTTTTCTAGAGACTGATCACAATTTTTTTTTCATATGTGGAAAAAAAATATGACCGAATCGGAAATAGGAGCTGCCTCGTTCCACTTGGACAGGTCGGTACAGCGACGGAATCTCTTCTTGCAGGTCTGCGTTCGACACCCGATAGTCCATGTGGTTAGGCACCGTTCCTGCCCTCCTATCCTGAATGCCCCTGTAACCTAGCAGTAAATAGGTACCTGGGAGTTAGTCAGCTGTCACGGGCTGCTTCCTGGGGGTGGAGGCCTGGTCGAGGACCGGGCCGCGGGGCACTAAAAAGCCCCGAAATCATCTCAAGATAACCTGGCTCTAAGCCTTTCTTCATATCCCTTCCATATGTTGTATAGTCATTCTGCCTTGGCGCTTCATCCTGATAATTCTTTTTCTCTTTCGATTGGAACAATAGTCCTTCTGTAGTTTCGTTTATTCTTATTCAAGATATAAGATAATAGAGAGAATAAAGCAGCGTTTTGCGCACAGTTGAGAGCCAGTGACGACGTGCGTGTCTGCTCGTGGCTTGAAGGTAACTGAGCCGGGAAAACAAAATTTGAATTTATGAAATGCGATTGGCAACGGTTTTTTTTTGTATACCAATGTTGCCACCTCGGAGTTTGGGTATTTTTCGTGACTTACGGTACACATCATGACTTATGGTATACGGCATGACTTACGGTACACATCATGACTTATGGTATACGGCATGACTTACGGTACACATCATGACTTACGATACACGGCATGACTTACGGTACACGTTTTAATAACAGTGGACTGACGGATACTTATTCTCACGGCTTTCACATTGTCGTCGAGAAGAAAGCTGTTTTACCATTCTCCAGGAGGCAACCCACAACAGTTACCTATTTACTGCCAGGTGTACAGAGGCATCAGGTGTAAGAATACGTGTTCTGCGTCTTGCTGGAGATCGAACCCTGGGCCGTGAACCGACAAACGCTAAGCACTAATCAGCTCTGTGGGACACTGGGCTTTTTTTTTTTTATTGCAATCGAAGGAGCGTGTGTGGGTATGTAATTTTGCTCCGGATTCTTGCAAGAAGTTCTGGATTACCTGTACGGCCCCTCCCTCTCTCTATCTCTGTCTCTCTGTCTCTGTCTCTGTCTCTGTCTCTCTCTCTCTCTCTCTCTCTCTCTCTCTCTCTCTCTCTCTCTCTCTCTCTCTCTCTCTCTCTCTCTCTCTCTCTCTCCCCTCTCTGCGCTTTCAATCTTCAGCGACGGGATCGGGGTATATGATCCACTTTCAGATTAATTGACCAGAATATGTTAACATGTGAACTGAAATTCTGTGTCTGTGGGCGGAGTGGGCAGCGCCGGGCAGGATGGGGGATATGAGTGGGTTGGGGGTCGTACGGTGGGGGTGGGGGTGGGCTGCTGGAGTGTGAGAGGGGGCGGGGAAAGAGAGAGAGAGAGAGAGAGAGAGGCGTGGCGCAGCTCCGCCATGGTTTATGGCAGCTGTGAGAGGAGGAAGTCTTCCTTGACCAGAGACCTGGTTGGAAGAGCATTTAAAAGTTGCTCTGGAAGATGACTTATCTGGAACATGAAATAATTGGACTTCTTATATATAATACTGATTAACGTGTCTCAAGCCTGGAACTAATCTTAGACACTTATATATATATATATATATATATATATATATATATATATATATATATATATATATATATATATATATATAGAGGCGCCATAACCAACAACTGGACACTCGAAATTACACGCATTTCAGGATTAATTAACGGTACATAAACTCGTAAATAAAGATGACCTCAAGGGATGCCCAGCCTCCTTCAGTCACTGGTATGACGACTATACTCACCTAGTACTGTGGTGCCCCTTACAATGTCCTGACGATTCAGGATGAGGTTAATACAGCCTCCATCGTCTCATTTTGCAGTAGGTTAGAGATGAGAAATGTACAAGACATTATCAAGAGCAGCCTCGCCCCTGGAAACACAAACCGTAACTGGCCCTATTTTCCGCTTGTTACAACTTGTAATAAAGTTATTACGTCTTGGCTTAACGTGTTTATGACGTATTAGAACGTTGTTACAACTTGCTATATTGGTTGTTATAACTGGTTAGGTGGTGTTAAAACTTGTTCGAACGTTGTACCAACGTCGTAGTTTCGGTGTGTGTGTTTGGCGGGGCAGCAGCAGCACTGAATAACGAAACCCTTTAGTGTTGAGACCCAACTACATGTAGTCAAGTGCGTTCGGGCAGCACAAACATATCAATTGTGACACTAGCTCTCCACATATGTCAGTTGCTTAATTTGGAACCTGTACTTGAGGTCGATCTCGAACCCATTGCTGATGTGACGACTTATATTGAATTTTGTAACTAGCTCATCAAGATTGTAACTTGCTTAGCTAAATGAATTGTGGGGTTCAGTCCCTGAGCCCATTATGTGCCTCTGTAACCCCTTCCACTACCGCCCACAAGATGGGTATGGGGTGCATAATAAATGAACTAAACTAAACTAAACGTCCGGGACGAGGTCCCTGTGATGCCCCTATGATGCGGTAAAAAGATTAGTGTGAAACTGCACATTTGACTCCACATTAGCCAACATCTGTCTCTAATTTAACAGAACCGAACATTCATGGTTCAGAGAGAGAGACAAAGAGACAGGGACAGACAGACAGAAAAGTAGACATAGATATACATACATACAGATATCTTTCATATCGTCATTTCCTTGATGTAAATGTTATATCCTTTTCAAGTTTGTTAACAGATAAAACTTTGAAGAGGAAAGGAAATACAGGAAATTTGCTGGTTACACAAGACTGTCTATAAGCAAGGACGACCAAAGACAGCGACAACTACACACCAGAATTTTACCGGAGAGTGAAATATATGAGTGCAAGAATCAGGACGACTCACCACAGACGTGCCATCCGTGTCGTTTTGCGGCCTGCCAGGTGTGGCTGGTGGTATGAGAGGTGTGGCTGGTGGCATGAGAGGTGTGGCTGGTGGTATGAGAGGTGTGGCTGGTGGCATGAGAGGTGTGGCTGGTGGCATGAGAGGTGTGGCTGGTGGCAAGAGAGGTGTGGCTGGTGGCATGAGAGGTGTGGCTGGTGGCATGAGAGGTGTGGCTGGTGGCATGAGAGGTGTGGCTGGTGGAATGAGAGATGTGGCTGGTGGCATGAGAGGTGTGGCTGGTGGCATGAGAGGTGTGGCTGGTGGTATGAGAGGTGTGACAGGTGGTATGAGAGGTGTGGCTGGTGGCATGAGAGGTGTGGCTGGTGGTATGAGAGGTGTGGCTGGTGGTATGAGAGGTGTGGCTGGTGGCATGAGAGGTGTGGCTGGTGGTATGAGAGGTGTGGCTGGTGGCATGAGAGGTGTGGCTGGTGGTATGATAGGTGAGGCTGGTGGTATGAGAGATGTGGCTGGTGGCATGAGAGGTGTGGCTGGTGGTATGAGAGGTGTGGCTGGTGGCATGAGAGGTGTGGCTGGTGGTATGATAGGTGAGGCTGGTGGTATGATAGGTGAGGCTGGTGGTATGATAGGTGAGGCTGGTGGCATGATAGGTGTGGCTGGTGGTATGAGAGGTGTGGCTGGTGGTATGAGAGGTGTGGCTGGTAGAATGAGAGGTGTGGATTGTGGCTTAAATTCCCTGAGGGATGTGACCGTGTTCCTCACGGTCAACAAGAAGCAAAGAGGGTGAAGAGGTCGAGAACTAGATGATGCAGGGCCGAGGGAGGTCGGGGCGGGGAGGATCAAGAAGTATATAAAGGCTGAAGCTCGGCCCATCACCACAGTCCAGCCAAGACATCAGAAGCAACATGTTCTCGGTAAGGACCACCCCGGGACTGTCTCGAGCTGGTCACAAGATGACATATTTGATCCCTGAATACAAATGTTCTATCATTTATATTCGTATTCAGTTAGAAGTAAATCCTTTCGTTTTCATATTTCATTTCCCTATATAATTTTCACATTAACATTTTACGAAAAGTTATTCATTATAATTCAAATACTGTAATTATTTTGTAATTTATTTCATTTAAAATTCCTTACAAAATAGCTATCATCTTTGAAATAAAAATATGTTTTCAATCCGCGGAGGTGCCCCTCCAAATATAACGTTTGTGTTCTGGGATCAAATATGTCATCTTCTGCCCAAAACGCTATGCGTGTTAGTGGCTTTACAAGAACGTAAAAACATCAATGCTATTTACTCTTATAAACCCAATGTTCCTTCTAGTATAATATATATATATATATATATATATATATATATATATATATATATATATATATATATATATATATATATATATGCAAACAGGCCTGAATGGTCCCTAGGACTATATGCGACTTCTGGGGTGTGAGTTTTCAGTCATATATATATATATATATATATATATATATATATATATATATATATATATATATATATATATATATATATATATATATATATATATATAAAATCCAATTAAAATGTAGTACTGTAGTTCCTCTGGTCAGAAGAGGCAGTGCCAGGTGTTTCACCTTATTAAAGTCATCCATATTGATGTATCAACCAAACAGAACCAGTTGGAGGTCATCACCACAATGGCTACATGTTCTTGCAGAAGTTGGTGTTGTGTGTCGTAGTGGCGGTGGCGGCCGCGGCGCCCCAGGGGTACGGGCCACCTCCACCATCCTACGGCGCCCCCTCAGGTCCTGTTGTGCCCATCCTGAAGGACGATCGTCAGGGACCTGACCAGGCCGGCAACTACAACTTCAACTTCGAGACTGGTGACGGCATCAATCGTCAGGAGCAGGGCGCCCCTCAGGGCCCAGCTGGGGCCGTGGCAGCTCAGGGAGGATGGTCGTGAGTATTCTTGTGGTACTGGTCGTAGGGTCCATCGAAAATATAAAAAATGTACTTTGCTAATTAATGAAACATAGAGTATTATCTATTACAACTTAGGAATCTAGCACATGGCTGACAGAAAGTCCTTGCAGGTTCACCTTCCCTGACGGCACCCCCGCAAACTTCAAGTTCGTAGCTGACGGTGCTGGCTACCGCGCGGAGTCTCCCCTGATTCACCCTCTCCCCCCACACGCCATCGCCCAGATCGAGAAGGCTCGCCTGGAAGACGCTGCCGGCGGTCCCCGACCCCAGTACGGCGCTCCTCCTCCCAGACCAGGATACAACTAAACCATCGCCAACTTCACCCACTCGTCTTCCTCAACACTGACTAGTCCTCTCCCACAGTCACACAACACAAGCTGTTGCCCTCCATGTTTTTACTACCGGTTGGCGATGGCTTCAGTCACATGTTGGATGTGACTCACATCGAAGTTGCTACTTTGGATCTTCGAGTGTGGTCCAACGCTTACAAAGCCGTCTGCGATACTTTTGACATAAAAATGGTCTTATATATTCCTTTGGTTCATCATTCTTTGTTATGGATACAAAGGTTCAATCATGGTCATCTTTGTCCTTTTTTGCCTTCTATGGATAATACTGAGGATCCCGAAGGACTTCTTCCTTAATATACCATTGTGGTCCTTCCACAAAGGACTTCTTTAGACATCTGTGGCGCAGTGCGGCTTTACTCTTCATCTTCCTCTCATCTTCATATCTTGGGTAAAGTTCATATGCTTATTTATTTTCAATTGAAAATTCTGTGTAATTTTCCCAATAAAAGTCAAACAAATTTCCTGCTTCTTCATCAACCTATAATTCCGACTGAGATTCACGCACTCACTCTCCTCCGAGGTGCTTCGTGTCATGTGATCCAGTTACACTATGTGAAGTGTTGCTGGATTACGAAAAGGATTTTATTCTAATTGTTTATGTTTGTGAATATGAAGAAAACAACACAAATATCTTCGAAAGCTCATAGAGTTACAAGAAGAAGTAGTTGGTGCCTTAAGGAGATGCATCCTGATATCCAGTCATTTCCTCAAAAAGTCACAATGTTCACTCGCCGCTCAAAAACTAGAACACTGCGGATTTATTCTAGTACCCAATTTCTAGTGTTTTACTCGTTAGATCCCATTTTCAGTGACAGCTGCGCATTACGGCAGTGACACATCTCCTCCAGAGCCACACTCTGTAGAACTGATGATGCCAATCCAAGTTCCTATAAGCTTTCATTGTGGCATAATGAAGAATGCGCACAGGAACTTATTAATTTGGTATTTTGTTGTATTATGAGTGAGTTACGAGAACAAATGTAAGGGCACTCGCCTGGCGTTCCGCGAGCGCTATGTCATGGGTTCGTATCCTGGCCGGGGAGGATTTACTGGGCGCAATTCCTTAACTGTAGCCTCTGTTTAACGCAACAGTAAAATGTGTACTTGGATGAAAAAAACGATTCTTCGCGGCAGGGGATCGTATTCCAGGGACCATAGGATTAAGGACTTGCCCGAAACGCTACGCGTACTAGTGGCTGTACAAGAATGTAACAACTCTTGTATATATCTCAAAAAAAAAAAAAAAAAAAAAAAAAGAGAGAGAGAGAGAGAGAGAGAGAGAGAGAGAGAGAGAGAGAGAGAGAGAGAGAGAGAGAGAGAGAGAGAGAGAGAGAGAGAGAGAGAGAGAGAGAGAAATAAATTATTTATTGTACGCTCAATTAAATCTAAACACGTAAAAATCTGTGAGCGGACTTTACTTTAGTAAAACAAAAGCCTAAACAAGATCTAGGCAGATGTAATTAAATGCTAACAGTCCAAACAGCCTTCATTACCGATAACTATACCTGGAGAAGCCTGTCAGAAGTATCTGAGGGAAAGTCAGACACAGACCAACCAAAGACAGCAACAACACTCACAGACATAAACAATGACGATCAGTGACAAACACATTCCGAACTTGCTTTACGAGTTCGGGTAAAGGAGCCGACATTGTCGGTGAAGGTAGTGAGTGATGGTCATCTGCCAGGCTGATGAGCACAAGAATGGTGGCTCTACCCGTGCGTCTGGGAACGGTAAAACCACCCTATTAGCGGTGACAGCCCCTCATGTTGGGGATTTTTTATAGTCATTAATAAAGTACCGAGAACTCACCTTGACTGGGAAGGCGCTTTGCATTGGTAGAACTCTTCTCCATTCACCAGGCTGTTACTATCCTCATTGAATACAGATGTGTCTTCAATAATGATGTTGCAGACCAATAAGGCCTCCGTCTTGAGGTTATCTTAAGATGATTTCGTTGCTTAGCGTCCCTGTGGTCCGGTCCCCGACCAGGCCTCCTTTTTGTTACACATCCCCAGGAAGCAGCCCGTAGCAGCTGTCTAACTCCCAGGCACCAACTTACTGCTAGGTGAACAGGACCATCAGGGGGTGAAAGAACCTCTGCCCATTTGCTTCCGCATCCGCCGGGGATTGAACCCGAAACCTCAGTACTACGAATACGATGCACTGGCCACTCAGCTGTCAGGCTCCATGGTCTAATTTGCAGCATATTTGATGAAAAAATGACGAAACCTGAAGTGAACGACATTATCAAGAGAGGCTTGGCCATGGCCCTCTACCGGCACACGGAACACCATAACTCTTCAGACCCAACGACAGTCGGAACCATCCAGATGGGGTCACCATGATGCCTGGAAGGGCGGCAGGAAGGTAGTGTAGGTATGTACCTCCACTTAAGTCACAGCTATCTCCAGTATAGCAGTCACAGCCCCGCTCCTGTGCCAGGTAAGTCCACTACGGGCTCACCATAGCCCGCGCTACTTGCCCCGCTCCTGTGCCAGGTAAGTCCACTACGGGCTCACCATAACCCGTGCTACTTGGAACTCTTGTTCCGAGTAGCTGAATCTAAAACAACAACAACATGCAGTATAACAGACTTGAGGGGAATGGTGCCGCTACATTCACGGAGATTTTGGAAACATCAGCGAGTCCAGTTTTCTGTCTCAGCGCATAAACATTGCCATTCAGCGAGGAAATGCTTGTTGCTTCTCGGGTTAACGTCTTACGTCTGAGGAGTAGGGAAAGATTTTCGGTTTGTAATGCGCAAAGAATGTAAAATGTTAGTGTACTTTAACTCATATTAGGAAGTACTGAGGAATAATAAACCTATTTGTTTAGGTGAGGTTGTTAATTTTGTTTCAAAATGTATATAATGCTTCTCATAATATTATATTGAATCTGTATTAGAATAAAATATTGTTAAACTAAAAATAAATTATTAAGGAAATTCGGCTTAATCGGGAACTCTGCCTACGAACAAGAACGACAAAAAACACGACCGAAAAAGCAGAAAAACTAATTTCACTGTAGAGTGAAATATATGAGTGGAGGAGTTAGAACGATTCGCAGCAGACTGGTCATTAGTGTGGCTGGTGGTCTTAATCCAGTGAGGGATGTGGCCGTGTTGCCACACCTGGGCGTCCTCACGGTCAACAAGAAGCAAAGAGGGTGAAGAGGTCGAGAACTAGATGATGCAGGGCCTACGGGGGAGTGGTCGGGGCGGGGAGGATCAAGAGTATATAAAGGCTGCAGCTCGGCCCATCACCACAGTCCAGCCAAGACATCAGAAGCAACATGTTCTCGGTAAGGACCTCTCTGGGACTGTCTCGGGCTGGTCACTGTACAGTTGGCTAACGTCAACACCCACAAGATAAACATAGTTAATCCCTGTAATCTCATACTTTCACATGTTCTCTTAAGTTTCATATTCAGTTCGCAGTAAATCCCTACTTATTTCCAATTGTCTTTTGCTATATATAACTTTCACATTCAAGTTTCACAAAAATTATTCATTACAATTTTAGTCAATTCCTTGTATTCGTTGCATTAAAATAATTTACCTCATTTAAAATACCTTGCAACATAATTATTGTCCTTGACACAGAAACGTTTTCAGACCTTAATATGTATTATTTAGGGGAAACTTGTTGAAGTCTTCGGGTTTCTCTGGTCAGACGAGGCAATTCCAGGTGTTTCACCTTATTATAGTCATCAATATTGCTTCGTATCAACCAAACAGAACCAGTTGGAGGTCATCACCACAATGGCTACATGTTCTTGCAGAAGTTGGTGTTGTGTGTCGTAGTGGCGGTGGCGGCCGCGGCGCCCCAGGGGTACGGGCCACCTCCACCATCCTACGGCGCCCCCTCAGGTCCTGTTGTGCCCATCCTGAGGGACGATCGTCAGGGACCTGACCAGGCCGGCAACTACAACTTCAACTTCGAGACTGGTGACGGCATCAATCGTCAGGAGCAGGGCGCCCCCCAGGGCCCAGCTGGGGCCGTGGCAGCTCAGGGAGGATGGTCGTGAGTATTCTTGTGGTACTGATCGTAGATGATCCATCGAGACTATAAAGTAATGTCACTTTGTTAATTAATGAAACATTGAGAACTATCTATAACAACCTGTGAATCTAGCAGACGGCTGACAGAAATTTCACATCGTTGCAGGTTCACCTTCCCTGACGGCACTCCCGCAAACTTCAAGTTCGTAGCTGACGGTGCAGGCTACCGCGTGGAGTCCCCCCTGCTGCCCACGCCCCCTCCTCTTCCCCCACACGCCATCGCCCAGATTGAGTTCGCTCGTCAGCAGGAAGCCGCCGGCGGTCCCCGACCCCAGTACGGCGCTCCTCCTCCCAGACCAGGATACAACTAAACCATCGCCGACTTCACCCACTCGTCTTCCCCACCCACTGACTAGTCCTCTCCCACAGTCACACAACACAAGCTGTTGCCTTCCAGGTTTTTACTGACGGTTGACGATGGCTTGAGTCACATGTACAAAGTTGGGTCCTTCGATGAGGACCAAAACCCTTATATGTCGTCCAACCTTTACACAGCCGTCTGCGATACTTTTGACGTAAAAATGGTCTTATATATTCCGTTGGTTCATCATTCTTTGTTATGTATTCAAAGATTTAACCATGGTCATCTTTGTCCTTTTTTTGTACTCTATGGATAATACTGTGGATCACAAAGGACCTCTTCCTTCTAGCTATTTAAGACGTCTTGTGGCGCAGTGTGGCTTTACTCCTCATCTTCCTGTCATCAACACATCTTGAGTAAAGTTTATATGCTTATTTATATGTAGTTGTTAATACTGTGCAATTTTCGCAATAAAAATCGAACAAATTTTCTGCTTCTTCATCAACCTAAGATCGCACTCATTCTCCTCGGAGATGTTTTGTATTCAATGTTTTGGGAAGAATGACTGGATTCTGTGAAATATACCTTTTGGGACTATTTATGTCTGTGGATATGAACAAAACAACACAAATGTCGAAAACCCTGAGGGAGACGAACGGGAGGAGTTTCATCCTGTTAACCTGTCATCTCCAGCCACCATACAAACAGCATCACTGGGGCATAAATCGAAAAGGGTTCTCTTCAAAAAGTCATAATGTTGACTTACCGCTTATAAATAAATCTAGAGCACCATCTTGAGGTTATCTTGAGATGATTTTGGGGCTTTTTAGTGTCCCCGCGGCCCGGTCCTCTACCAGGCCTCCACCCCCATGAAGCAGCCCGGGACAGCTGACTAACACCCAGGTACCTATTTACTGCTGATCTTACCATCTACTGACTCTTAATACCCATTTTCTTAGTTTTTACTTGTTGGTTCCCATTTTCAGTGGCAATTATGCATGACGACAGAGCCACACTCTGGAGAACTGATGCTGCCTGCATGATGTTGCTGTAGACTTCCCTTGTAGAAATCATGAAGGCTGCGCATGGGAAATATTTATGTTGTATTATGAGAAAGCATAAGTGCGAACTGGATATGAAATTTGCGAGAGAGTTATCAAGGGGAAAGCGCCAAGCCACTGCGACTATATAGCACTGGGAAGGAGGTCAGGATAAGGATTTGGGATGGGACGGGGGGGGGGGAGGAATGGTGCCCAAAGAGAGAGAGAGAGAGAGAGAGAGAGAGAGAGAGAGAGAGAGAGAGATTTAAATAAAACGTGGGAGCTCAGTTGACTTTGCTAAGAGTAAAAGTAAGTCCAAGACCAAGAGGGTGATGTAATTAAATATCCAGTCCAAGCAGACTCCAGTGCTGATAACTCAACAGTCCAAGCAGACTTCAGTGCTGATAACTCAACAGTCCAAGCAGACTTCAGTGCTGATAACTCAGCAGTCTAAGCAGACTCCAGTGCTGATAACTCAACAGTCTAAGCAGACTTCAGTGCTGATAACTCAGCAGTCTAAGCAGACTTCAGTGCTGATAACTCAACAGTCTAAGCAGACTCCAGTGCTGATAACTCAACAGTCTAAGCAGACTCCAGTGCTGATAACTCAACAGTCTAAGCAGACTTCAGTGCTGATAACTCAACAGTCTAAGCAGACTTCAGTGCTGATAACTCAACAGTCTAAGCAGACTCCAGCACTATATAATAACTATAACTGTAGAAGCCAGTCAGAAGAGTGCATGGGAGAGTGAGACACAACATCAACACTCACAGAGATCAAAGAACATCAATAAACACTTCTTGTCAGTGACAAGAAGTGGACGAACCTGCTTTACGAGTCAGGATGAAGGATCTGACACCATTGGGGAAGGCAATGAGTGATGGCCTGATTGATCAACACAAGAACTTTACCCATGCATCTGGGATTATTAGATTAACCAGTTTTCTAACGGTGACAGCTCTCCATGCTAGGGATTTTTTATATGCTGTTCCTAATATAGTCCCGAGAACTCGCACTGACTGGCGAGCTTGTCACAGAGGTATAGCCCTTCACCTTGATGTCTTTCTCATCAAAGACAGATGCGTCTGCTATTGTGAAGTGATCATACGGTCATACATGATCATACATGATCATCAATTAGTTTAGGTGAAGTGGAAAAGTTAATTTTGATTTATAATGTATAAAATGCGTAACATAATATTGAACTGAATATATCTATCATTACAAAAGAATGTTGTTCTATGAAAAACTCGTTAAGAACATTCGGCTTATTTGGCATCCTTGCCTAGAAGCCCGAACGACACAAAACAAGACTCAAACCACAAAACCGGATTTCACTACTGAGTGAAATAAATGAATGCAAGAGTCAGGCCGACTCACCACAAACGCGCCATCAGTGTGGCTGGTGGTATGAGAGGTGTGGCTGGTGGTATGAGAGGTGTGGCTGGTGGTATGAGAGGTGTGGCTGGTGGTATGAGAGGTGTGGCTGGTGGTATGAGAGGTGTGGCTGGTGGTATGAAAGGTGTGGCTGGTGGTATGAGAGGTGTGGCTGGTGGTATGAAAGGTGTGGCTGGTGGTATGAGAGGTGTGGCTGGTGGTCGTAATTCACTGAGGGATGTGGCCGTGTTGCCACACCTGGGCGTCCTCACGGTCAACAAGAAGCAAAGAGGGTGAAGAGGTCGAGAACTAGATGATGCAGGGACCGGGGGGCCGAGAGAGGGAGGGATCAAGAGGTATATAAAGGCTGCAGCTCGGCCCAACACCACAGTCCAGCCAAGACATCAGAAGCAATATGTTCTCGGTAAGGACCTCTCCGGGACTGTCTCGGGCCGGTCACTGTACAGTTGGCTAACGTCAACACCCACAAGATGACATATTTGATCACTGGACATAAATGCTCTATCATTTATATTCATATTCAGTTAGCAATAAATCCATGTTTTTTTCCTATTGCCATATATATTTTTTAACATTAGATTTTAAATTATTTATAATCATTCAGAATGGTAATTTCCTTCAGTTTTGTGAAATAACATAATTTACTTCATATAAAGTACTCTACAAGATCACTATCGTCCTTGATTCAGAAACGTTCTCAGTACTCTTAACATGAAGCAGTTAGGGAGAGTTTGTTGAGGTTGTTGGGTTCTTGTGGTCAGGCCAGGCACTTCACCGAATTAAAGCCATCCACATTGCTTCGAATCAACCAAACAGAACCAGTTGGAGGTCATCACCACAATGGCTACATGTTCTTGCAGAAGTTGGTGTTGTGTGTCGTAGTGGCGGTGGCGGCCGCGGCGCCCCAGGGGTACGGGCCACCTCCACCATCTTACGGCGCCCCCTCAGGGCCTGTTGTGCCCATCCTGAGGGACGATCGTCAGGGACCTGACCAGGCCGGCAACTACAATTTCAACTTCGAGACTGGTGACGGCATCAATCGTCAGGAGCAGGGCGCCCCTCAGGGCCCAGCTGGGGCCGTGGCAGCTCAGGGAGGATGGTCGTGAGTATTCTTGTGGTACTGGTCGTAGACTATAGAATAACCATGAAATAACGGGACTATAAAGTAATCAGTCACTTTGCTAATTATGAAACATTGAGAACTATCTATAACAACTTGTGAATCTAGCAGACGGCTGACAGAAATTTCACATCGTTGCAGGTTCACCTTCCCTGACGGCACTCCCGCAAACTTCAAGTTCGTAGCTGACGGTGCAGGCTACCGCGTGGAGTCCCCCCTGCTGCCCACGCCCCCTCCTCTTCCCCCACACGCCATCGCCCAGATTGAGTTCGCTCGTCAGCAGGAAGCCGCCGGCGGTCCCCGACCCCAGTACGGCGCTCCTCCTCCCAGACCAGGATACAACTAAACCATCACCGACTTCACCCACTCGTCTTCCCCACCCACTGACTAGTCCTCTCCCACAGTCACACAACACAAGCTGTTGCCTTGAACGTCCTTGACACGACTTAAATATAATTGTATATATACTTTGAGTAAATCTTCATTCTTCGTAAAATGTGTAAGAGGTGCAAGCATGGGCGTTATGTGTTCACCTGTTTGCTCTCCTTAGATCATAGCGAGGAAGTCTTCTGGTCACCTTCCTTACTGCTTGTTTGAACGTCTTGCTAGTCAGCGAGTGGTCTCCTTCATTATCTTCCAATCATCCAGATATTTATAATGCAAAATATATATATGAAATATAAAATATAGATTTATTAATGCTGTATAGTTTTCTCAATAAAAAAAATGAGAGATATGTCCTGTTTCTTTAGCAACCCAAGATAAATGACTTCAAGAAGAGAGCTGGTTTTCCATCCAGCTGCATATATGTGAAGGCTGAATTGAAACCATAAGCTGTAGTTACTGATTAAGATTCAGCTACTCAGAACAAAAAGTTCCAAGTAGCACGGGCTATGGTGAGCCCATATGTAGTTACTGAAACCTTTTCTCATGTATATAAGCCCCTGTATCTCACGTATCCTTGGTCCCGTATGTTACCAATCTTGCAAGGAATGCCAGCTCATCGTAAATTTCCACGCTTTTGATATAAAGCAATTGCTTATAATAACCCAGGTAAAAGAAATCATAATTCCCGCCTAATGCATGGGGGGGGGGGGATGATTCCGCCCCTCAGACCTTTATTTATCCCGAGTCTTTCGTAATTCTTACAATGTAAAACAGTCCCTTGTAAGACTCTAGACGTTACAAGTAAGACAAGTCCCTAATACAATCCAAGACGGATATAAATCCAGTTCCTTGCATAACTCTATGTCCTCAGTAGTTTAATTCTTGAATCCATATATGACCACAACTCATCATGCAACCTAGTATAGTTATATTTGTGTATGTCGTTCTTAATCTGACTAAAGTTAGGACTGGAAGAGGTAGATAAGGTGAAGTTACAATTATTTCCTAAAATCTACTTAATAAAAAGTCCTGGAAATACAACAATTGTTGTTGTTGTTGTATTCAACAATAACAACAATTGTTATTGTTGAATACAACAATAACAATTGTTGTTATTGTGGAGCTGCACATGAACAATAGTCGTTCATGTGCAGCTCCAGTCCCATGTACAACTTAATTGTTTTGTAACAGCGTCTCCTGTGACCCCCAGCACCCCTCCTTGTCTCCTGTGACCGTCAGCTCTCAGTATATCCCCCCAGTGTCCCGTGACCCCAAATCCCCTGTCTCCCGTGACCCCGTGACCCCTAGCCCCTTGTCTCCAGTTTTCAAAATAAGTTGCCTGTCGGAAATATGACTCTTGAGCGTTATTTTTGAGGCGAATTCACGGTAATTGCACATATTTGGAGTTTTAAATTACAATTTTTTTTTGCCGAAAATATGCAAATTAGTGAAAACGGCGATTGGTCACATTTTGTCCAAATTGACCTCCCTATGTCTCTCTCCAGAGAGAGAGAGAGAGAGAGAGAGAGAGAGAGAGAGAGAGAGAGAGAGAGAGAGAGAGAGAGAGAGAGAGAGAGAGAGAGAGAGAGAGAGAGAGAGAGAGAGAGAGAGAGAGAGAGAGAGAGAGAGAGAGAGAGAGAGAGAGAGAGAGAGAGAGAGAGAGAGAGAGAGAGAGAGAGAGAGAGAGAGAGAGAGAGAGAGAGAGAGAGAGAGAGAGAGAGAGAGAGAGAGAGAGAGAGAGAGAGAGAGAGAGAGAGAGAGAGAGAGAGAGAGAGAGAGAGAGAGAGAGAGAGAGAGAGAGAGAGAGAGAGAGAGAGAGAGAGAGAGAGAGAGAGAGAGTTATATTATATGATTATTACTTATAATTAAATAAAATTTATTCCTAATGATGCATATAATAATTTCATGAAATAATTAAGTCTATAGAATCATGTTCCAACAAAGCTGATGTAGGAATAAGGCTCGTGCTTGAAACGTCACCAGGTTCCTCATATAATAAGCAATTGCAAAGAACGTTCTCATGTAATAAACGAGCCTCTAGGCTTCAGATGAGGCAGGATAACAGCTCTTGCTTGCAGCTTCATTGCGTGTCAATCGACAGCCCTAATGCACCTTAGCCTTAGTTAAAAAAGGAGAAAGTCAGCCATCAGTTCTTTCACATAACACATCTGCCTTGATCATCAACGTTAAGCACGGTGGAGACGTGAACATTACCAGAATCTGCGCAAAAAGTGAGGGAAAGTGTGAGTAGAAATACGGGGGTGACAGAGTCCAGCTGCGAGCTGCAGGTGACGGGTGGACGCTGCTCTAGCAGGAGGAAGCAGCAGCAGCAGCAACAGCAGCAGAAAGAGGAACAGCATTAGGTGGCACAGGATCAAACAGTACCATCAGGAAGAGCAGCAGAAGGTAGCAGGTGGGCGGATCACTCACTAGCAGGAGAAGCAGTGGGCGATAACATGATGAAATGGTAACATCAGGAGAACTAGCAAAAGGCGGAGGAATCCCAAAGGTGGTGGTAAATCAGAGGCAAATGAAGGTCTGACTGCGGAGGTCTGATTGGAGAACTGGGTTTCATATGCGGTTTAATATTAAGAAAAACTGATTTAGTTAGAACTTAAGAATTATGTCATCACGCAGTGATATCAGCGACGATAACCCATCTCCTCTCGTTCTTTTACTCCTGTTCATTCCTATTATATCATTTGCATTTCTTTCTTTCTGTTCATATTTTTTCTCTCCACAAACGACATTGGTCCAGCTGGTATCACACTTCAGCCTTACTGAGAGCGGAGCGCGTGTCCACTCAACCACAACTCCCCTGGACTAGATATCGAAGGTTCTTGGTTGGCTGCCGTGACTTGGAGTGGTCCCAGAGTCCCATCTACTTGCTGGCAGGAGCGACCTGGGTCTACCCGGGAGGAGCAGGGGTGGACTCAGCTGAACCCCTAACACCACCTCTTCTTCTTCTCCGTGTAACAAGGATGAAGTTGAATTAGATCTAGGTATCCCTATCTCTGCTGTCAAAACTGTATTGGTCCAAACACTCAGATCTGATAGGAAAGAAATTACTGACTCCCAACGACCTGAAAGTACTAGTATAAAAAGCTATAATTTGTTCAGATCTGAAACCTATATCTATGGGCAGCACAAAACGTCCACTAGACTGTGCGACACAGTGGTTGCAAGGATCAGGTTGGGTTACCGTTACCTGTGGCAGGTGGCTGCAGGTGACGGATCTCCCAATCCTGAGCACTCCAGTTGCAAACTCTGTGAGCAGGAACTACGGCACGATATCCCGCACTACATCACTGAATGCCCAGTTATTAGACCTTTCAGACCAGTTGGCATGAGGTACCTGGAGCTTTGTAATTATTCACTCTCGTATTCTTGAAGATATCCTCACAGTGTACCCAAAATTTGCCAGTGCCGGCTACTAAACACATGGCTCTGTATGACTAACCATCCTGCGAGATGGGGACTTTTATTACCACTGCTACCTTATTCAATCTTGTGTTGATGATATCCTCATACTGCACCTAGAGTCTGCCAGTGCAAACTGCCTATCACATGCTTCTGTATGACTAACCATCCTGTGTGATGGGGAGTTTATAGCATCGCCTAGTTAGCTTTTTTGACACACTGTACTCCATATAGTCTAGAGTAGCTGCACTAATGCAGATGTACCTAATGTATTAATAAAAAAAAACCTCTTCTTCTTCCTCTCTGACATATTCACCCGGATTTACAGTGTATGTTAAGAAAGCAGGAGTGGGGTAAAAAAATAAAAAACTCTTATGCGCTGGGCATATTCCAGAGAATGCGGCAATAGACGTATTGATGATAAGTCAATGGATCTATAAGCTCCACCGAGGATGTATCAGGTCACCCCCGACTGACATGAGAGGTGTGACTGGTGGCCTTAATCCACTGAGAGAAGTGGTCGTGTTGCCGCCACACCTGGACGTCCTCAGGGTCACCAAGGAGCAAAGAGGGTGAAGAGCCCGAGAACTAGATGATGCTGGGGCCGGGGGGGAAGGAAGAGGTCGGGGAGAAGGGTGGGGATCATGAGGTATATAAAGGCTGCAGCTCGGCCCATCACCACAGTCCAGCCAAGACATCACAAGCAACATGTTCTCGGTAAGGACCACCACTCCGGGACTCGCATGGTGTTGGTCATCACCTCTTTTAAAGTTTGGCTCCACCAAACGTAATCAAATTCTTCATATGCTTGATCAAATCTTTACTATTTCTTTCACCCTTTTAGGTCTTGTTTGCATTCATTTCCCAGTAGATTTTCATATTTTAACAATCGATGGGCCACTCACACTGCCTCATACAGGTTAGCATGTCACTAAGAACTTTATTCAACTTTAATGATAAGATCTTTATTATTTATTTACATGAAAAATCTCTTTTTAACATGGTGACGGCTAGGTAAGTGAAGTGTCTCTTGGATGTAAAATGGATAAAGAAGCCTTACAAAAATATTTTAATCATATACGATCAAATTTATTAATTCACATTAATGGTACAATGATAATGATATCTCGATTAAAATTCTCTACCTGAGCAGCGTCGTCTTTGATATATAACCAATTATTAAGTGGTCCAATAACGTAGTGGAGTAGCCAGGGGGAGGGAGGGGGGTAGTGGAAAGGTGCTTGGGCAGTAAATGAGTACTATGTAATGGGTGTATAATATAGGTTAAATATAGTGTAATATAGTGTAGTAATATAGTGTAAATGGGTGCTATAAGCAGTAAATAGGTACCTGGGAGTTAGTCAGCTGTCACGGGCTGCTTCCTGGCGGTGGAGGCCTGGTCGAGGACCGGCCCGCGGGGACACTAAGCCCCGAAATCATCTCAAGATAACCTCTCAAGATAAGGGAAGATAAGACGATTAGGTAGTGGTGGGAAATTTTTTTCTGGTTGAGGTCGTTGGGTTCGTCTGGTGTGGAGAGGCAGTAGTATATCACCATATATCACGTTGCTTCGTATTAACCAGATGAAGAAGACAGCTCGCGGTCATCACTACAATGGCTACATGTTCTTGCAGAAGTTGGTGTTGTGTGTTGTAGTGGCGGTGGCGGCCGCGGCGCCCCAGGGGTACGGGCCACCTCCACCATCCTACGGCGCCCCCTCAGGTCCTGTTGTGCCCATCCTGAGGGACGATCGTCAGGGACCTGACCAGGCCGGCAACTACAACTTCAACTTCGAGACTGGTGACGGCATCAATCGTCAGGAGCAGGGCGCCCCTCAGGGCCCAGCTGGGGCCGTGGCAGCTCAGGGAGGATGGTCGTGAGTATTCTTGTGGTACTGGTCGTAGACTATAGAATAACCATGAAATAACGGGACTATAAAATAACCAGTCACTTTGCTAATTAATGAAACATTGAGAACTATCTACAACAACTTGTGAATCTAGCAGACAGCTAACAGAAATTTCACATCGTTGCAGGTTCACCTTCCCTGACGGCACTCCCGCAAACTTCAAGTTCGTAGCTGACGGTGCAGGCTACCGCGTGGAGTCCCCCCTCCTGCCCACGCCTCCTCCTCTCCCCCCACACGCCATCGCCCAGATTGAGTTCGCTCGTCAGCAGGAAGCCGCCGGCGGTCCCCGACCCCAGTACGGCGCTCCTCCTCCCAGACCAGGATACAACTAAACCATCACCGACTTCACCCACTCACCTTCCCCACCCACTGACTAGTCCTCTCCCACAGTCACACAACACAAGCTGTTGCCCTCCAGGTTCTTATTACCGGTTGGCGATGGCTTGAGTCACATGTACAAAGTTGGGACATCAAGACGGGAACAGACTATAGTATCAGTGATTTTTACCAAGTTAGCGATAAATACTATGTATGAATCGTATATACCCTTCTGGATTACTCTTTACCGAACCATGTGTTGAGCACACCAGGTTTGTATATTTATCATTTGTTTATAATGATTTTTCTCAGTAAAAATGAAAGAAGTTGTCATATTTCCATTAACCTCTTTGGCTTAAATTAAGGAAGTTCACAAGGATTGTCAGTGGCCTCAACAATTGTCATACAAGTAGGCAAGACAATTGAAACAAAATTGAATCATAAATGAGTCAGCTATTCATTAGTCTGTGAATGGGTAAAAAAAAAAATATATATATAAACACTAACATCTGAATGGATACAAGATTATATAAATGTGTCCTAAAGGTTATTGAGGGTAATTTAAATAACTACGCTTACATATGACAAATAAAAAGCTAACTGAAAACTTAAAGGACGTTAAATGCATTTTCAAACAAGATAACAGCATATTAGATCTAAGTGTAGAGAATCATCATACATCAAACCACACACTAGAAATTGAAGGGACGACGACGTTTCGACACAATCACAATCGACACACTCGACGACGACACAATCGACTTGAGAATGGTCCAGGACGGACCGAAACGTCGTCGTCCCTTCAATTTCTAATGTGTGGTCTGGTCAACATACTTCAGCCACGTTATTGTGACTCATCGCCTGCATCATACATCAAAATCTAAAATACCAATGTAGATCCTCAGTAACAATAACGCGCTTGAACCTAGTGACCCGGCCCGTGCAGGGAAGGAAATAACAAGGGTTTTAGTCCGTCATTGATCCTTATCAAGTCCTGGACCCGTATCAAGTCCTGGACCCTTATCAAGTAAAATTTACGACTCGATAAAGGTCCATGACCGACCGAAACGTCGATACTTAGCTTTCATTTCAAATGTGTAGGTTGGTTGTGGTCAGATGTGTGAGTTGGTTGTCCTCAGCTGTGTGGTCAGGTGTATGGTTTGAGTATCGTCAGGTCCGTGGGTTGGGTGTCGCCAGTTGTGTGGGTTGGTTGTCCTCAGCTGTGTGGTCAGGTGTATGGTTTGAGTATCGTCAGGTCCGTGGGTTGGGTGTCGCCAGTTGTGTGGGTTGGTTGTCCTCAGCTGTGTGGTCAGGTGTATGGTTTGAGTATCGTCAGGTCCGTGGGTTGGGTGTCGCCAGTTGTGTGGGTTGGTTGTCCTCAGCTGTGTGGTCAGATGTATGGTTTGAGTATCGTCAGGTCCGTGGGTTGGGTGTCGCCAGTTGTGTGGGTTGGTTTAATGTATTATTGCAATTATCTATAAGAAAATGCCTCTTGGTGACAGAGAATTACAATATACGTCACTCCTCAAGCCCATCACTTACTTAGGGTCCTGCATCACACTAATCTACATCCTTAGCTCTAAACCTAGGGACGTGTGTTCACTCCAACCTATTGGGGTAGAAGTGGTTGGGCAAGTTTCCTTTCACCCTGATGCCACAGTTCATCTATCAGTAAATAGTACAAGAGTTAGTGAACTGTTGTGGGGTTCCTAGGGGAAGGTCAAGAGTTCAACCTGGTGGGGCCCTCGATGCAAGCCAAAATACAGGTGTCCTATCTCGATAACATTGGGGGTCCTGACCAATGTGCAGTCTCCAGAAGGACCAAATCCTTTCAGACATTTCTTGCAAGAACAACACTGCGTCTGGTATCTAAGTGTATAAGATTAGTCCTGGAGACGTGTGACTGAGTGTGCGAGGACAATATATTTAACTAGGTCAAAAATAATGGGAGATAATGACAAAAAGACAGACCCCCTCAACAGCAACTCCTCCATTAAACCCAGGAAAACAACCTTCCCTTTCAGTCTCCTGCGATTGTTAAACGAAATAACAGTAGAGACGTGAGCATTACCAGAGTCTGAGCAAGAAGTGAGGGAAAGTGTAAGTAGAAATACGGGGGGGGGGGGTGACAGAGTCCAGCTGCGAGCTGCAGAAGGTGACAGGTGGACGCTGCTCTAGCAGGAGGCAGCAGCAGTAACAGCAGCAGCACCAGTAGCAGCAGCAGCAGCAACAGCAGCAGCAGCTACAGGAGCAACATTAGATGGCACAGGATCAAGCAGTACTATCAGGAAGATCAGCAGAAGGTAGCAGGAGGAAGCAGCAGCAGCAGAAGACAGGAGAAAGACAGCAAAAGCAGAAGGTGGAAGGACCAAAAATAAGAAATAGGAAGAGGTAGTAGCAAGCGGACGCAAAGGAGACAATGGAAGAATGGACAAAAATGAGAATAATAACTATATAAGACTTGGAGGAGGTGCAAGACGAGCTGGAGGAAAAGAAGGATGAGGAGAAGGAGCAGGAAAAGTCCTTTAAGATAGCGAGGAGAAGCTGTCACATACCACAGCCTGAGACCAAGATACAACACTCACAGATTTCAGATACCAAGTCAAGTCTTCCAAGTCGATGGCTATTTTAGAGCAAACTAATATTTACAGCTGACGATAGTAATAGTCCCGTTAGTAGTAATAGTTGTAACAGTGGTTGTTGTTATGATAGCAGCTATAATTGTAGTAGTTGGAATACTACAACTATCATTATTATTATTAGGCCTCAATTACATCTCAGTTGTAGCTTAATTGAACCCGTTTACTTAAACTAATCTGTGACAGGGATCGCGAAAAATGACATAATGTCTCGTGTTCTGTTCGTGGGTTCCTCTGGTTGGTTAGGTTAGGGCATTTTAATACGTCAATTTCTTGACGGTGGGAACGCTGGCTGCAAGGATAGCTTTAGAAGTGAGGAGTGTGTGTGCGGCTCAAAGGCACACATTCAACCCCCCACCCACCCGACCCCTCACAGCTTATACGATACAGCACGGACACAGGTAATGTATCTTGGATACATCTTAACTCCCACCTATAACACCATCACAAAATATCCTCCACAGGAGCCAATGGGTGAAGGCGAGATGGCACAGGTGATGAATAGATGAGAGAGAGATAGGTGGTGAATAGGGAGCAATGGCACAGATGAGTGAGTGAGGCAGGAAATGAATCAGGGAGAGTAGACAGATGTCAAATTGCGGTAAGAGACAGATGGTGAATAAGGGGGCGGGGAAAAAAAGAGAGTGGGGTGGGGGGGGGGGAGGCGAACTAACGACGTGGTCTTTTAGTAAATATCTGTGTTTTATGCTGTTAACAAAAGTGCTGAGTCAGGCAGCGGTTTAGAAATGAGTGAAGGAACAGTTTCACTCGCTCTGTCCCCTATCTTTCTCGCCTCACTCATTTCTATTTCCTTTCGTCTTTTTTAAATATCTGGGGAAGAGTGTCGCAATGAACCAGAACTCGTCGCGAAGACCTGCCATCAAAGCCCTTCCAATACTCATCGCTCACAGGATGAGTATATGATTACACAATAAACTACAACTCACAGGATGAGTATGAAGTACACACTAAACTTATCACTCGCATGATGAGTTTATGAGGTACACAGTAAACTATCACTCACGATATGAGTATAAGGAGTGCACAATACACAACCACTCACAGATGAGTTTATGAGGTGCACAATAAACTAGCCAACGCGAGTGAAAGCAATCAATCAGGTCCATGGTCGACTCATCAACACTGTCACTCAAGGTCGTCATGAGCATCCCCTGCGGTCAAGAACCTCCTCATCTTGACCCTATCCCTGATCTAATCATCCAGACATTAATGACCGTAGTTTCAAAACAAGCATAAGTTAATTTAAAAAGGCTAAACTCAGCGTTGAGTACATTATCTGTAGTGATGAAGCGGCCGAGAACTGATCATATAGTCTGCAAAGGAACTTTACAGATTCACTTTTTTAATAGTTTTCCTCCATTGTCTCCAGCAGGAGAATTGAAGACACCAACGCTAGATCACTGACTCATTGTCAACTTCATGTTCGAGGGACGTAGGTGAGTTGTGGATGCTGGCACGAATGGTGTGGCCAATGGCATGAGAGATGTGGCTGGTGGCATGAGAGGTGTGGCTGGTGGCATGAGAGGTGTGGCTGATGGCATGAAAGGTTTGGCCTTAATCCACTGAGGGATGTGGTCGTGTTACCGCACCTGGGCGTCCTCGCGGTCAGCAAGGAGCAAAGAGGATGAAGAGGCCAAGAACTAGATGATGCAGGGGGCCGGGGGGAGTGGTCGTGGAGGGAAGATCAAGAAGTATATAAAGGCTGCAGCTCGGCCCATCACCACAGTCCAGCCAAGACATCAGAAGCAACATGTTCTCGGTAAGGACCTCTCCGGGACTGTCTCGAGCTGGACAACTGTCGTTGTCTACACCTACAATATAACGCAGCTGCTACATGCGCTTCAATGTTTTCATTTTAGTTGTATACTGGTAGAATGTTGTGGTTCACGCTAAGCGAATTTTACACACATGCACATAAAACAACCAGCTCTGTGCTTATGTTTCTCCGAAATAATAAATATTCACATGATTTCATTAGGTTTTAAAGACATTCACTGATAGATTTTGCAGTTCAGGTACTCGTAAATATGTGAGAGCACCGTGCTTGAATAAAAAATCTTTATATTCTTTGTAACATAAAGCGAAGTATACGGGTGAGGATCCAGGTGATGGAAGGGCGATGATATAGTTTGATAGAGGTTCCACTGGATAGGTCAGGCAGTTCCAAGTGTCTAAGCTCATGAAGGTCACCCATATTGTTTCTGGGTCATCAGATGAGGAAGACCAGTTGGAGGTCATCACCACAATGGCTACATATTCTTGCAGAAGTTGGTATTGTGTGTCGTAGTGGCGGTGGCGGCCGCGGCGCCCCAGGGGTACGGGCCACCTCCACCATCCTACGGCGCCCCCTCAGGTCCTGTTGTGCCCATCCTAAAGGACGATCGTCAGGGACCTGACCAGGCCGGCAACTACAACTTCAACTTCGAGACTGGTGACGGCATCAATCGTCAGGAGCAGGGCGCCCCTCAGGGCCCAGCTGGGGCCGTGGCAGCTCAGGGAGGATGGTCGTGAGTATTCTTGTGGTACTGGTCGTAGATGATCCATCGAGACTAAAGTAATCAGTCATTTTGTTAATTAATGAAACATTGAGAACTATCTATAACAACCTGTGAATCTAGCAGACGGCTGACAGCAATTTCACATCGTTGCAGGTTCACCTTCCCTGACGGCACTCCCGCAAACTTCAAGTTCGTAGCTGACGGTGCAGGCTACCGCGTGGAGTCTCCCCTGCTGCCCACGCCCCCTCCTCTTCCCCCACACGCCATCGCCCAGATCGAGTTCGCACGCCAGCAGGAAGCCGCCGGCGGTCCCCGACCCCAGTACGGCGCTCCTCCTCCCAGACCAGGATACAACTGAACCATCGCCGACCACATAAACTTGCTACATCCTCCTGCACATAGTTACCCATGAAACAAAATATAATTCCTAGTCCTCGTTAGCTGCTGATGGCGACTACTAAAGCAATACGAACAGAGATGACTCTTGTTGGTGAGTTTACTGAAGAAAGCATATTTTCCGAGTGCCCCTTTAAAGATTTTTGCTTGATGAATGTATAAGTGTTTGTTCTGCATGAGTGGTTCCACACCTCTTCCATTCTGATAGCACTGTAAATGTTATGTATTTATTTATAATTGTTAACTTTATAGATTTACATCATTAAAGTGGTCTGTAATTTAACATTATTTTAAATCTCTTGGTTCAACAACAAAATTTAATTATTTGAAGTTACGGATATGAGAGTAAATTTATACTGAACGTTCTAAAAACATGGAGTACAATACATTATGAAGACAGATGCTGTATTTAAGAAATTTATTCCGATATTGTAACGTCTTTGAAACCAACTATGAAATCTGGACGAAACTAGGCGATGAGTCACAATAACGTGGCTGAAGTAAGTTGACCAGACCACACACTAGAAGGTGAAGGGACGACGACGTTTCGGTCCGTCCTGGACCATTCTCAAGTCGAGAATGGTCCAGGACGGACCGAAACGTCGTCGTCCCTTCACTTTCTAGTGTGTGGTCTGGTCAACTAGCCGATGAATGTCGTGTCCTGTAAATAAAGCGGTCCTATTTAGCGCTACGAAGGACATTGCTGACGAATGAGTTACCACCCGTAGAGTCTCTGTTTCAGGCCCATCGTATCCTCGATCCTGTGGGCACAATTTTGCACCTGCAGGATAAAGCTGTTAGCTCTTGGATCCCACATTTATAGACGTCGCTTGTCTAATATTCTGACCCCCCCCCCAACCTCTTTTCTCCTTTATTTATACTACATATATTTTTCTCTCTCTGGCCAACTAGAGCGGACAGCGATCGGGATTCGCAATCCACAGACCCGGGATCGATTCCTTGTCGAAACAGAAGGAAATGGGTAGAGTTTCTTTCACTTTCATCTAGCCGTAAATGGGTACCTGGGAGTTAGTCAGCTGTCGATAGGTTCGGAGCGAGCATTTGAGTATACCATTGTCGTTGTGGCAACTGGAGAGAAGAGACTGACGTGTCTGTGTGGGGGGGGGGGGGGGAAGAGATTGAGAGACGATATACTAAACGACCGGGGGGGGGGGGATCACAAGTCCAGCGTGCTGTCAGCTCGGCCGACAGCTCGGCCGTGCTGTCGGCCGAGCTGACAGCACGCTGGACTTGTGATCCTGTGGTCCTGGGTTCAATCCCAGGCGCCGGCGATGAGAAACAATGGGCAGAGTTTCTTTCACCCTATGCCCCTGTTACCTAGCAGTAAAATAGGTACCTGGGTGTTAGTCAGCTGTCACGGGCTGCTTCCTGGGGGTGGAGGCCTGGTTGAGGACCGGGCCGCGGGGACACTAAAAAGCCCCGAAATCATCTCAAGATAATCTCAAGATAACGATGGTGTTGGACTGGGGAGAGGAGTGGATATGGCAACTCTCCGGACAACATAACGAGAGTGTAGCTCTAGTCATCTCCAGGAACGCTCCAGATACCTTAGCGACTCCTAACAAATAGCTGGAGTTTGTTTTGTTTCTCGTAAAACACATGTAACATTATTTTCATTGTCTATATATTTCAATGGATACGATATCAAAGTGAAGTTCATTGTTCACTTCGCAATGAACAATTGTGAAGTGTTCAATCCCCGACCGTCCCAGAAGTGGTTGGTCACCATTTCTCCCGCCACCCGTCCCATCCCAAATCCTTATCCTGAGAGAGAGAGAGAGAGAAGATTAAGCCACCCAAAAGGTGGCACGGGCATGAATAGCCCGTAAGTGGTGGCCCTTTTGAGCCATTTCCAGTATCAATAGATGATACTGGAGATCTGTGGAGGTGCGACTGCACCCTGCGTGACGGGAGATGTCTCCCGGACCAAGTGGTGACCAGATGGTGCCTTATCCTGACAATTCCAAGTGCTATATAGTCGTATTCCCCAAGCAGCACCGCTCCTGTGCCAGGTAAGTCCACTACGGGCTCACCATAGCCCGTGCTACTTGCCCCGCTCCTGTGCCAGGTAAGTCCACTACGGGCTCACCATAGCCCGTGCTACTTGCCCCGCTCCTGTGCCAGGTAAGTTACGGGCTCACCATAGCCCGTGCTACTTGCCCCGCTCCTGTGCCAGGTAAGTTACGGGCTCACCATAGCCGGTGCTACTTGCCCCGCTCCTGTGCCAGGTAAGTTACGGGCTCACCATAGCCCGTGCTACTTGCCCCGCTCCTGTGCCAGGTAAGTTACGGGCTCACCATAGCCCGTGCTACTTGCCCCGCTCCTGTGCCAGGTAAGTTACGGGCTCACCATAGCCCGTGCTACTTGCCCCGCTCCTGTGCCAGGTAAGTTACGGGCTCACCATAGCCGGTGCTACTTGCCCCGCTCCTGTGCCAGGTAAGTTACGGGCTCACCATAGCCCGTGCTACTTGCCCCGCTCCTGTGCCAGGTAAGTTACGGGCTCACCATAGCCCGTGCTACTTGCCCCGCTCCTGTGCCAGGTAAGTTACGGGCTCACCATAGCCCGTGCTACTTGGCCCGCTCCTGTGCCAGGTAAGTTACGGGCTCACCATAGCCGGTGCTACTTGGAACCTGTTCCGAGTAGCTGCATCTATAACAACACAACAACAACGGCGCTTTCCCCTGATAATTCCTTCCTTCCTTCCTTCCCTCTCGCTTTGTTTAATAAGCGTTGAACCGTTGTTTATTTGACTTCATTTGTAAGATGATAACACAATCCAATATGGGAATTTGTTAATCGGTCCAATACTGCCTAGTTGTGGCCCTTTATTGACTGCAGGTTCAGTACCGAACTTTTTCAAACAGGTAGACCAAAATGTCAATAGACTAATAGCAAATAGGATAAATTAGGTTTATGTAGTTAAAATATACCGTAAATAATGTGTTTATTTAAAAAATGGTGAGTTCTGCAAAAGACACATGCTGGTTCAACGGGTGCATTTAGCTCATTCACGATTGAACACGTAATGATTGAACGTTAAAATCAATAATACATTTGGACTGAAATTGAGAGCAAAGTGCTGTTGCAACTGACGCCACAACAATTGAGGGGACAACACGGGGAGGCTCCTTCCAACACTGCAAAGTCGGGGGACTATCCAGTCAATGTCTCCATACTACATGATGTTAACTCCGGTGGCTCAGCTTCCATGAAGAGTTTCAGACAACTTATGTGAAGACAAGTCAGAGGGCCGGACGAGTACGTGATTAATGTTGATCATTGTTTAGTTGTATCCTGGAGAGGAATTAGGAGGACCGTACTGGGGTCGGGGACCGCCGGCGGCTTCCTGCTGGCGTGCGAACTCGATCTGGGCGATGGCATGGGCGGGAAGAGGAGGGGGCGTGGGCAGCAGGGGAGACTCCGGCCGGTAGCCCTCATTATCGGCTACGAATCTAAAGGCTCCAGTAGTCCCGTCAGGGAAAGTGAACCTGGAAAAGATGTAAATCTAAAGGCTCCTGCCTTCAGTCAACCAACTGAGTCTTCAAGGTCTCAGTTTCTTTGAAAGATATCAGTCAACCAACTGAGTCTTCAAGGTCTCAGTTTCTTTTAAAGATATGTCTGCGAAGCGTATGATACTCATCAATAGAACACAGTTACTCACTTCCAAGCTCCCTGAGCTGCTACGGCGCCAGTCGGACCCTGGGGGGCGCCCTGCTCCTGACGACTGATGCCATCACTAGTCTCGAAGTCGAACTTGTAGTTGCCGGCCTGGTCAGGCCCCTGGCGCTCGTCCTTCAGAATAGGGACTACTGGACCTGACGGGGTACCGTACGACGGAGGCGGCCCGTACCCCTGGGGAGTCGCGGTGACCATCGCCAGTAAAGAGCACACAACAAACTTCTGCAAACACACCACCATGTGATAATGTGCTGATATATATCAACCAAAATCTGATAAAGATTAACTAATGGGCCGATATATATCAACAAATAGGCCGATTAATATCACTAATAAGAAACTCTAACACACAAGACATCGTGTCGCTTTTGATGACAACATGATCCCACAGAACTTTGAATTTGAAGCAGCGAGGGTGGAGATTGATTGATTGACGAAGTTTAAGCCACCCAAGAGGTGGCACAGGGATGAATAGCCTACAAGTGGAAGATTTTTGTAGTAAATGTTATCTTTGGTCGTGAAGAGGGTCATGCCACACTTGGTCCGGGAGACATCTCCCGTCACGCAGGGTGCAGTTGCGCCTCCACAGATCATCAGTATCATCTTTTGATACTGGTAATGGCTCGAAAGGGCCACCACTTACGGGCTATTCATGCCCGTGCCACCTCTTGGGTGGCTTAATCTTCATCAATCAATCAATCGTGAAGAGGGTGGAGAGTTAGAGCCCTCACTATAACCCATCTCTTCACTCCCCATCAAATCGAGGAGGACCCATAAACTCACTCCTGTGACCCGACTGTGCTTGTTGGTTGGTCCTGTGAACCTCTACCGAACATCCTACGCACGTCTTTGCTTAGGTCTTCTGAAAGCAATACATCTGAGCACAAGATCATCTAAGCCCAAGCCAACGACATGGGGCATATAAACGGACACCGCGATTCACTATCTGACTTACTGATACTCACAATAATGGCAACATCATCGATGACCGATAAAGCTTAATTATCCAAAATAATGTTAATTGGAACACATTTCACACTTCCCTTGAGAGTCACAAGACAATAAAAACTAACCTGATGCACAAAAGATACACTTCCAATCAGTTTGACTGGTCGCTGAGACCGGTTTGAAGGTTTTGCTAATGAACCGTCGATCAGGTCTGAGCACAACTTGGACGGAAATTACGACACTTAAGCTTATAAATCCCCCCTGAGAAGGTGTAGCACAAGGGAACCATGTAGCGAGGGGACAATTAAGAGATCCTACACACACAGAAATCACAATAACCTGATGTATCAATGAACAAATCCCCAAGGCATTCCGTGAGTAGGTTCAAGCCCCTCATCAATGCCCTTGTGGATTTGTTCAAGAGATCCCGGGCTACTTGTATCCGTGTCACCTCTTAGGTGGCTTAATCTTGAATCAATCTTTCACCTCGAGAGAGAGAGACAGAGAACCTCGAGGGATAATCTTACCGAGAACATGTTCCGTGTGACGTCTAGGAAGGACTCCTTTTTTGGTTCTGTTTACGGCGTTTAAGGATGAACTGTGAAGATGAGTCGAGTTGATGTGTTTATATACGTGATGACAGCTCCCCCTCCCCCACCTAGTCTCTCACCCCCATCTCCAGCCTCCACAACTCTCCGTATCACAGACCTCGGCCTCTTTACCTCCCTGGTGACCATGTGGTCAGCTCAGAGACCGAAGCTGTCGTAACGTGACCACATGATCTTCTCACTGTCAAAGTTGATTTAGAAACTACTAATCGTGTAACGTGTCCTCAACACTGTGTGTTTGCGGGGGGGTGAGCTTTGGCTCTTTGGACCCCGCCTCTCAACTACAGGACCCAAATAGCAATTTTATCACATGTTGACCAGACCACACACTAGAAGTTGAAGGGACGACGACGTTTCGGTCCGTCCTGGACCATTCTCAAGTCGATGCCATTCTCATCGACTTGAGAATGGTCCAGGACGGACCGAAACGTCGTCGTCCCTTCAACTTCTAGTGTGTGGTCTGGTCAACATACTTCAGCCACGTTATTGTGACTCATCGCCTCCAATTTTATCACATTTCTATATTGGATTATTTTTTGAGATGCAATTACTTTTGATTTATACAATATATAAATTATTAAACAGAACGATTACTAGTCACTGTTTATTTCGCTACAATATTTATACAAGACTAATATTTATAAGGTTATGGTTACTGTATAACTAAATTATTCTAAACTTGGGGAAGTGCATTTAGTGGAGTGGATTTTAACAATGGTTATTAACCCCTTAATATTAACTACCAGGCCAGGATCTATAGCACTGTATTGCTACATATACACACTGTAGTGCTACATATACACACTGTAGTGCTACATATACACACTGTAGTGCTACATATACACACTGTATTGCTACATATACACACTGTAGTGCTACATATACACACTGTAGTGCTACATATACACTCTGTAGTGCTACATATACACACTGTAGTGCTACATATACACACTGTAGTGCTACATATACACACTGTAGGGCTACATATACACTCTGTATTGCTACATATACACACTGTAGTGCTACATATACACACTGTAGTGCTACATATACACACTGTAGTGCTACATATACACACTGTAGTGCTACATATACACACTGTAGTGCTACATATACACACTGTAGTGCTACATATACACACTGTAGTGCTACATATACACACTGTAGTGCTACATATACACACTGTAGTGCTACATATACACACTGTAGTGCTACATATACACTCTGTAGTGCTACATATATTAGGGAATGTGTGAGACAGAATTAACAATAAACTGATTCACACTCATTAGTACAATATGCCACCACAACTAATTGCTCAGTCGTCGTACATGTAAAGGCCAGACAGGTTCAGTCAACAACCTGCAAATTTAGTCAATGGTTATAAATATGCGATACAAAGCCTAGTAACCTACTTTACCAACTATCACTATGTCTCCTATTCCTCAGTCTTGTAATAATTCTTGTAATTCATGCCCCTGATATCTACACCCTTCGTTCATAGACAAGATAATGTTGTGTATTACACTGGTCTTATTGTTAGGTGATGTCTGACGAGGCGCGACACAGACGAGCGGTGGCTCAGGGCTTGGCGCCTTCTGCCATGTCGCAAGGCTTGTTTTTCTCAAGCACGTAACCTGGAATTATCACCGTCGACTCAACGAAGCGATCGTGCATCGAGTGACGTCGCTTAATGGGGCGTCGACGCTATATCTGGTTCATGGAATGGAGATGCGGGTTTTGTGTATGTGTGTGTGTGTGTGATGTTGTGGTAGCTGCGAGCGTTTGATCGCCGCGTTAGTTTGATTGCGGGGGATGTTTTTTGTAAATATTTTGCGTGAAAAATGTTTGTAAATTACATTTAACTCTCTGAAGGGCAGGGCCTTGGGGTTATGCACAAGTGAATTCGCAGTTTTGCAAATATTGCTTTCTAGTGGAGAAGAAATAAATATATAAAGTAATTATCAGAAGCAAGTGCAGAACCCCCACGACTGCGTAGGACTTGGCAGGGATATGGGGACAAGGAACTGGGATATGGGGACAAGGAACTGGAATATGGGGACAAGGAACTGGGATATGGGGACAAGGAACTGGGATATGGGGACAAGGAACTGGGATATGGGGACAAGGAACTGGGATATAGGGATAAGGAACTGGGATATGGGGACAAGGAACTGGGATATGGGGACAAGGAACTGGGATATGGGGACAAGGAACTGGGATATGGGGACAAGGAACTGGGATATGGGGACAAGGAACTGGGATATAGGGATAAGGAACTGGAATATGGAGACAAGGAACTGGGATATGGGAACAAGGAACTGAGAGATAGGACGGAGGGCAGAAACGATACCCAATCACTTGGACCATTGGTGATCGAACTGCAAAATGCACAAGTCGAAGCCCCTACAATACCGACCAATCTAAGTATACCAACAACTCCAAAAATACCCGTAAACGTTTGAAGGCAAATCCCACAATGTAACCCCCACAGTACGCGCGTTCGAGCCCACCACCCTACTCCAAGGATTATATCACTAATATATCACGCTATGATGATATATAGTAACCTAATACTATAATAATACAAATATTACAATTCAATATTACACAATATTTAATCAACAAAGCGCCTTAATTGGGCACCCAGCTGTGGCTACTGATTATCTAACCACAGCAAGAGTTCCACTTAACCGCCTGTCATTATAAATATATCTTAAGCGCATTGTATTATGTAAAGGAAGATACAATTAGTCATTTATATACACTCCTGCTGTGTATACTGCAGCAGTCTGTAGCTCTTAGAGTATACCCGAGTATACCCGAGTATACTTCGAGAAATACACTGACAGTATTACGAGTGTAAAATACAGGATGAACTACGCTAGGTTCAGCACACTTAGTTATATTAGTGTTAAACTCAGGATGGGAAACATAGAGCTGCTCTACGAACTACACTGAGCTCTGTAGGATCGCTACACTGAGCCACTGTAGACTATAGCTACAATGAGCCACTGTAGGCTTTAGCTACAATGAGCCACTGCAGGCTATAGTTACACTGAACCACTGTAAGCTATAGTTACACTGAATCACTGTAGGTTATAGCTACACTGAGCCACTGTAGGCTATAGTTACACTGAACCACTGTAAGCTATAGCTACACTGAGCCACTGTAGGCTATAGTTACACTGAACCACTGTAAGCTATAGTTACACTGAATCACTGTAGGTTATAGCTACACTGAGCCACTGTAAGCTATAGTTACATTGAATCACTGTAGGTTATAGCTACACTGAGCCACTGTAAGCTATAGTTACAAAGAATCACTGTAAGCAATAGCTACACTGAATCACTGTAAGCTATAGCTACACTGAACTAGCTACATTCATATCCAGATTCTTGACACCATTTTAGTCTCGTTTTCACTATGTGTTTACAAGTGTCTCAACAATCCCCATTTCCTCAACAATCACCTACAACAATACACAATTGCCGTTCTCAGCAACCCGACCAATCAGAGCCCCCCAAATCGTTTTCGTCAGATTAATTAGTTCATTCACAAATAGGCTGGACTTATTTAGTTTTTTTTTATACAATAGGGTGAAATGGGTTAAGTAAATACAAACTTTGGTAATTGGTTAACTGGTAACAGCCCGCCTTCTGAATTCATAGGTCGTGTTTTGTACGTAATGGAAACCAACAGTATAAATGCGACCTATTTTTTCAGGACATGAAAATGCGAAATAAATGCGACCGGACATTTTCAAGAGGAAACTAGATTTATTCCTCCAAGGAGTGCCGGACCAACCGGGCTGTGGTGGGTATGTGGGCCTGCGGGCCGCTCCAAGCAACAGCCTGGTGGACCAAACTCTCACAAGTCGAGCCTGGCCTCGGGCCGGGCTTGGGGAGTAGACGAACTCCCAGAACCCCATCAACCAGGTATCAACCAGGTATTATAATAAATAACGGCTCGCAAATATCAACGTTTCCAATTCATCAGACTCGATAGGTTGGGTAGGTTGCTTGGGTTCGCACGTTTCTGGTTATGTTAAAAGATTGGGCAGAGTAACTAACACAACCTGTATACATGAACCTATCATCTAATTACAGCTTCATAGGCCGAATTGTTTTACCTTGCGTTGTCTGGATTTTATGTAACTACTGACCTTTCGCCAGGAAACTAAGGGCTCACCATAGCCCGTGCTGCTTGGAGCTTTTTGTTCCAAGTAGCGAATCTTGAACAACAACGCATATTTGTTCAAACTCTCACAAGTCAAGCCTGGCCTCGGGCCGGGCTTGGGGAGTAGAAGAACTCCCAGAACCCCATCAACCAGGTATCAACCAGGTATCAACCAGGTATCAACCAGGTATCAACCAGGTATCAACGACAAGGTAATCAGAACAGCAAAGGAGTCAACTCAGTTAAGATAATATTATTCAACTCTCGACAAAACCCAATTGTCATTTGACGCTTGTTAAATGGCAATAACTATGTACCATCCTGAGGTCAGCAGCTGGCATGTGTTGACCGAGGTCAGCAACGAGGTGGTGTTCCGATCTAATTGGCAATCTAGAAATAATTGCGGCAACTGGGGTTCTTAAAACTGGCTTCAGCTGTCGATTTGGAAAAGTTGGCGTCAGTCCATTCTACAACTTCCTTTCGAGGGTCAAGGTATTCCTCTGATCTTTTTCTGATCCTTCGTGTCTTGACCAAGATGCCCCGGGGCCTCATTCCTTCCCTCTCTCCTTCCTTCCTCTCTCTCTCTCTCTCTCTCGAAGAGTTACTCTTCTCTGTCTCATAAACCCAAGTATCTGGAGCATTCAAGAGCTTCTCTCTTGAAGACATACTTAACGTAAATATGCGCTTTCTCCAAACTTAGGATCAACCACGTTAAACTGGGCTCGTTAGCACTCTTCGTCTTGGCTGGAATGTATACAGCAGACCAAAGCTTTATTAAATGTATATTGTCTGCAATACACGACGAGATAACAAA